CTAAAAAATAGAAGTGCTTTTAGATAAAAGCAGAAGCTTTATGGACTTTTGATTAAAATAAAATCAAAAGCTGGAAATAGATACTTTGAAAAAAATAGCTTGTGCTATAGGAAATAAATAGTATTCTTAATAAGTACGGTTTCATTAATTAATAAATTTAGTATTTTAAAATAAAATAAAATATTAATTTATTATCAGTCATTTTATATTTATTATAAATTATTTAAATAATATTTATTTAAAAAATTAAATAATATTAGTTTAAAAGTAATATGATACTGAGCAAAATTAAAAAAGTAATTAAATTAAATAAGTATTTTAAAATAGTTTAAATTATTAGTATATTTAGCAAAAAGTATTATTTAAATAATTATAATAATTAATTTTCTAATGTTGTGTGATTTTTTATCATTTCAATACTTATCATTAATTTTATATTATAATTAAATATAATATTACATTCTATATTAAAAGTATTGTTTACATTAATTTTTACTAAATACTATACTATTTTTAACCTTAAAACGTTTTTTAACTGAAAATTATTCTCAAAATACTTTTACCAGCTTACCAAGTGACCTAAGAATCTGCCAACACTGGGCTTCTTATCCTGCTTCTCTACTTCGTAGCATCATCTTTTTTTGTCTTCATTTGATTTTCTGTCTTACTAGAGTTAGTTTCAGCATGGCAGAGGATGCAGTCAATGCAGCCATCAAGTCTGGACAGTTGAGTCCAATCAGTGGCTGTTTAACTCATAAACTGCAACTTGTTGGCGCTGACGGATGGGAGCCCTCCTCTTTTACAGTTCTTGCTCAGCAATACATGCGCATGAAAAAAGCCCATGGTGGTAAAGTAGTCCCTGGGGCAATGGACACAGCTGCAGCAAAGCATTTATCTCATGCATATGGTACAATGGCAGAACGAGTGGCTACCATAGCCCAGGTCAGGTTTATCTTGCATTTTCTTCACAAAGTTTTCTTTTTGGTAATCTGCTATTGTATAATTATTTATTGGCTCCAACAGTTTTGGATTTCAAGAAAATTCTATGCATTAAATTCCATGTTTGCATTCTGACGTGGAATTATTTTTGCAAAAAAAGTTTTTCCATGTAATTGTAGCTAATAAGGGAATGCATCCAGTTTTAATGAGTAAGCTATAGGTAACCAAATAGAAATTGGTTTCATAGTGTTCTCTTTAGATGTGTCTGTTTGTTCTAAAATGCTCAAATACCGCACATTGCCACATGCTTTTATCTCACAAATTTCCCATCTTCAATAACAGGTTAAGCAAAACAGTTACTAAGTTTTTCTTTTCCTTATCCTTGACACTTTTTGGGATAGCTTGGTTTGATTTGCATGTGATACTGTGTGAAGAATGAACAGATTGATCAATCGATTGTGCACAGACAGGGTTGAGAGAATCTGTACAGATGTAGGCTGGGCCACTGTTTTTCTCCTTCCTGCTCGCAACTACGGCGAGTAGTGAGGAGGCCGTGGTGCTTTCTCAGACCGAAAAATTCCTGATCATAGAAAGAAAAACTGTTGATGTTATTTTCAATGGAAAGAAAGCGGAAGGCATTAGGGTGAGTGAAAAATGGGAGGGATTTAGGTCGACCCTCATGTTCTGGGAGGATGAAGACAAGTGGCTGCTGGGTACTCTGTAGGAGTTTTATTGGATGAGAGGAGGGGTATTCTAGGGGCAGAATATGGCAGGTACACACCATAATCTCTGGGTGTCCATGGGGCTCAACAACTGGGGTGAGCTTTTGATCATTATAGAGAAGAAAGAGGAGGAATCGAGACGCATCTTCATCCTAGAGGGCCCACAAGCCAGAGGTTGGTGAAGGGTTATGGTTTTGCTATTTGAAATGGTGGGAAGGAAGTTCAAGGCACTGGCCAACCAAAGGTGCTGAAACCGAGCACCCAGAATGAGGAGCATTGTCCGAGGTGGTCCACAACACACCACTTCTAGCATGCTGGATGCCCGAGCTTTAAGGTGGAGCTGATCATGAGTTTGGAGATTAGGTGAGAGAAGAGCTTTGTTGCAGTGGTGGAGGGGAAGAGAGAGGGGAGTCAAGTAGGGAAGAATCTTGATTTCAAGATGGGTCTAGAGAAATTTAAATTTCCCAAAAAGCAAAGAAGTTGTGTCGTTTTGGGGGAGATAGGGCCCTGAATGGGCCTTGGCTTAAAGAGCCCAACAATGAGATGAAGGCTGATAAGAGGCTGAAATTTGGCTAGACCGAGAAAGAAAAATGGATAAAACAGAGTCAGATTGGGGGTACCTGATTTGAGTATCAGGAGAAGGCGATGAACCAGGGACAGTGAGAGGTGGGGGCAGTGATGGCAGATTTTGATGATGAGGAAGGCAACAGAAAAAGGGAGGAGTGTAGTAGAATGGGAAAGGAAGAAGAAACATGGGAAGAAATGACACTAGAAGTAGAAGAGGAGGTTGTGCACGAACCTGCTGAGAAGGCTAGGGGGGCCTCTGTTTTGCTGCTAGCGGTGGTTCCAACAATGAGAACTTGTGCTTATGGGAGTCTGGGGTTAGAGAGATGATTGAGGTGTA